TGGATTGTGATGAATTGTGTGAGCCCCAATAAAATGATTAAAAAAGAACAACATAAGAACAATGTTATATATACATATTTCTCATTGAATTGTAACTAATCCTTATGGCTTTTATAATAAGCTGGCAGACTAATTTTCATGATCGTGTATGAAATGTGAACTCTTTTTAACTCTTTAGCGAAGGGCATGTTGTTAGTTGCGATCAAGTCCGTTCAGAATCATGACCCCATGTATCCAGAGAAATTGAAGAGTGCTATCCACTGCTTCAGTCTGACATTGATTTAAAAAAATGGAATCATGATGCATTGATAATTATTGGTGATTGGAATGCAAAAGTTGAAAACAGAGGAAAGAACAATAGCTCGAAAATAAGGTCTTAGTGATAGAAACGACTATATCTATGTGAAGAAAGGATGGAGAAGCTCAATATCAGCAGCTAAAACCAGACCAGGGATTGACTGTGGGACAGACCATCATATTTAAGTTTAGATTGAAGCTGAAGAAAATAAAAAGTCCACAGGAATAGAATACAACCTTGAGTCTATCCCACCTGAATTTTGAGAACATCTCAAGAACGAATTTGACACATCAGACATTAATGACAGAAGACCTGATAAGCTGCGTGATGACTTCAAGAACATCATACGTGAAGAAAGCAAAAGATCATAAAGCCAAGAAAGAACCCTTTCCACCTGCTCCCCCCTCCCCCCAAGCGCTGCTCTGGTGGCACCGTACTCGCTTAGAGCTGTGGGCTCCTCCTAAGCTAGCACCACCGCTGTCTCCCTCTAGCCCCCATCATGATCATCTACCGGGACCTCATCAGCCATCATGAGATGTTCTCCGAAATCTACAAGATCCGGGAGATCGCAGACAGGCTGGTCTGGAAGTGGAGGGGACAATGGTCAGTAGGACCTAAGGTAACATCGCTCATTGGTGGTAACGCCTCTACTGCAGGCCGGCCCCCATGGCAATGGAACAGAAAGCACAGTGGTCACTGGTGTTGGTATTGTCATGACCCATCATTTGCAGGAAACCAGCTTCACAAAAGACGCCTACAAGAAGTACATCAAAGACTACATGAAATCCATCAAAGGCAAACTTGAAGAGCGGAAACCAGAAAGAGTAAAGCCTTTTATGACAAGGGCTGCAGAACAAATCAAGAACATCCTTGAAAATTTCAAAAACGACCAGTTCTTTCTTGGTGAGAACATGAATCCAGATGGCATAGTTGCTCCACTGGGCTACTATGAAGACAGTGTGACTCCGTATATGATCTTCTTTAAGGATGGCTTAGGGATGGAGACATGTTAACATGCTGGGCAACTCATGACCGATCGATCACCTCTCATCCTAATTGCCTGCTGTTCACCCACACGACACCAGGACTTAGACAAACGGAACTGATGTCATTGGGAGCTCTTCATTTACTTTTGACCTTGATTTATTTGGAGCGGAGGCCTTTTTTTTTTTTTTTAGGGAAAAAAACATGGAGGTTGTCTGAAAATAAAATA